TGCCCATTGAATTTTGCACTGCACTCGTAAAACAATCGTTGAATGCCAATGAAATACGAAATTCCCAATAAAAATGATATAAATGCCATTTCGAGTAAGTAATTGAATATAAATATCACATTTCGTTCCATTGTTTATCATCGTAACGGACAATTGAGTGCAGCGCTTTTTTCGATATTATTTGTTGTGGTGTTCCGATTTCGGTTCGGTTGAATTTAATTTGACGTGATTCTTGTTGTGTTTACAGCGGAAAATGCATTTGAAAATCGATAGAAATCTATGAAGAATGGATATCAATTCCAAAATCTCACAGTATGTAATATGCACTACTGGAGAAATCAACAAAAACAATGGAGATCACACAATAGAGGTAATGAAAACTCTAACGAACACTAATAAATCGATTAAAAATGCATTTCTTTTTTCCCACCAAACCAAGAGCCAAGGAGGATGATTTTCACCGCATCGATTTCAAATTGTGTGTCGTATCACATACGTAATGGAGGGATGATGTCATCATAAAAATCGCACCACACTTTTGCAAAAGAAAAAGAAATACATTTCAAATCCCTCTTGTGATTTCCTAATTAAAACTGAAATCTCGAATTAAAAAATACATGAAAAAAGAAGAAGAAATGCGGTGATGTGCAGCGATTGCATACAAAAGCCCATTCGAAACAGAGCAGAGAAAAAGGTGTTCAACGTTGAATGTTAATGGAAGACATGAGGAGAAAATTAGAAAATTGTAAATTATTATTATTCACTGCTGAAGCTAAAGAAATCTGAATGTGAATACGACCACGAACCCGAAAGCCATTGTGTGTATTCGCCGTGCACTCGAATGGCAACGCATACATGCACACAATCGCGTACATTTTCTTATCGTAAATCCATTGAATGTTTGCATCTGACTGTGTATGCATCGCCACGCACTTCGATGAGGTTGAGTCTTATAGCGCCTATACCATTTAAACGAAGCGCAATGCTAAAACTCAAAATAATAATCGTACACAAAAGAGCTCAAAGAAAAGAATGCATCGCACACATATGCACGGCCGATTCGTCATTTGTTGGTTTTCCGTCGACGCCATATTTCTTTTTTTTCACTCCATGTTTCGTTCTCGTCTGTTGTCGCAACCTGATTTTTATCGCATTCTTATAATCTTCATTTCCATTTTATATGCGCTTATATAAATACATGCCGATATGAGTTTTGCTTGTGTGCTCTTTCTCTTTCGCTCTCTGATGCTGTTTCAATTCTTCGTCGATTTACATCTTTTCAGAGAACTCTTTTGTTTAATTCAAGAAAAAAATCATTTTGCGGATGAGAACATTTTTAAAAAGTACAAACACATGCACCAGTCGTCAATGTACGAAAAAAGAAGAAGAAGAAATACAGCAAAGTAACCGGGCATTGAATCATTTTATTCCATCTTCGTAAATGTGCATGCTGGTGTAATTGCTTTGGTCGTCACAACACTACTTTAGCCCTGCAATTCCGGTTTCCGAGCACCGCAAAATGCAAATGAAAGAAGTAAAGACAAAAACGTAAAAATCATCACCACACATAAGCCGAGATAAAGGCGAAGCTAAATTAAAAAATTACAGATCCATCAAACGCTCATTGCACATCACTCAAATGCACAGCACACCGCACAATAATAAAACAAATAAGCCGCTTCACGCTCATCTCAATCGTTCTCCTCAACCAAAACACAGACGAAGCCTTCCGTCACTGAATTTCTTTCATGAATAAATAATAATTCTATTCCAGACTACATATATTTGCCTCGCATTTTCAAGCAATCATACCGGCGTTTCTTTCACTCGCACTTACTCATGCTATTGCAAACATTTTAATAATTCGCTTTTTTAATAAATCCATCACAACAAAAAAAGGTATATGATGGTATTTTTTCCTCTTAGTATTAGCGTTTAAAAAAAGTTTTCCATTATTTTTTTTTTACATTCAAATCAAGTGAACTACACTTGACTATCGCCAAAAAAACTTAACTAACATGGAACTCTTCCTAATTTAGAAAACGAAATATTGATTTTCTCGCCTGCACGCAGAATATTTTCAGAAACATACAAAATGAATTTTTCTGATTGAGAATATAAATGAAATGCATAAAAATATCTAATTTAAAAATGAAGTAAGTATATCATTTTGACATAGCGTTATCCGATATTACATTTTTAATTCAAATCAGTATTTTTGGTGGAAAATATAATTCTTTGCTTGATTTTAATAAAAATATGAAATTTGTTAATTTTACAAACAGTTACCAATTTATAACAATAATGATAAATTGTAGAGAATTCAACGAAAATTCATTTTTCTTCAGTCTTTGAAATGAATATGGAAACCATTTTATTTTTTAAAGATATAAAATAAAATAAATAATTTCGTCTCAAAGCTGATTATCTCAATTGCAAATTCATCAAAATAAAAATTCAATTCCGACATTATCAGAGAAGTAAATAGAAATGAATGAACTGAAGCTACTGTTTAATCCTGTGTAATTGGCGATTTGACTTTCATTTTCCACTACTCGTAAAATATCGATTTCCCTCCATCTCTACGCAGACAGTATTTGTAGCATCTCGTTTTAAAATGCAAACAACGCACAGCAGAAATGCAAAGAAGAACTCAGTGCAGAAACGTGCAAGCTTTGAAAAATGAAAGAAAAAACTAAAGCCATTTGTTATCATCCAATTAGTCAAACGTGTTAAATGAATTATGTGGAAAAAAGTTTTTTATGGGCTGTGCACTGTGTATGTGCACATCATATAATAAGCCATATACAAAAAAAATGACGTTCTGACTGAAAATATGTTTCAAAGTAAAATGTGCGCTTTGTAAAAATGAATTTCAATACTGAACTATCATTCGGCTACTATATATCAATACAATCGTCGTCATTTTTCGCCCGCATATCATCAGATATGTGCTATACAATCATAAGCATATTGCAATGTGAGTCGATTTACGAAAATTTGTATATTCACACATTTGTACATCGACAAAAGCCACAACAGGACCACATCAGCAGTTGAATGTTCGCATTTAGTAGAGCAACTGTATCTCTGACACACCAACGTCGAATGCCAAAATTGGTTGAGGCAAAGCGAAAATTCATCGATGCAGCCAATCGATAAATAACTAATTACTGTCTTAATTAACATGTTTCCATTGTTGAGGCTATAATAAAATCACGAGATTTTACGAATTTAGCCTTTAATCACCATCGTTAAAATCGTTGCGATACCATCTATTTTCGTGACGTGTTTTTTGACTCACTAACACTTTCATCGCATGTATCTCTCTTGCTTGCTCTCATCCAACACGCAATACACCATTCGCATTCATATTGACATCCGATTTGGTGCATTTGCTCGCATTCGATTTGAATGTTGAATACAATGGAACAAACAAAATTACAGAGCAAGCGCATTTGTGTTCGGAAAAATCGGAGAAAAACTAGTCATTCTACTCGGATGTACACGAAATGCCGTATATTCTGTTTCGTTTGCACAACGAATCACCAGTACAGATACGATGTGTTTGTTCTGCTTAAGAACAAATACGATTTCGAACAAGAATGGTAACGCCTTTTTCGAAAATTGAATTACCGATGTGACAGAGTGGGGGAAACAATTCGTTCCGAATAAGCTGCACGTATTCGCAGCGATTCTAAATGTGATTAGGAAATGTTCTTATTCATTATTGCCATTTATGTTCATTTACCACACCCAGCACTTAACGTACTCACACATACAGAGGGAGAGAGTGTGTTGCGGATGGTTCGTTCAACGTTTTCAGGCGAATGCGTATGGAATGAAGGGATACAGACATAAATCCAAGTAACTTTGCCTGCACACATAATCACATTTTTTTTTCTCGTACGGTAGCTGTACTAGCCTTGCGTTGTAAATTAGTCAATTTGGCTGGTGTGCATGGGACGTACCTATTTATCCCTTCCAATGCGAACGTGTGTAGCGGCGACCTGTGTATCATCAATATCATCATTAATGCTAATGATTTCGTTCTACGCTGTCGTTCGTCCCGTTTTCGTATGTGTTTACTGTTTGAACAATTGGCGAGGGCGACCGAATTCATCTCAATCCGACGTAAACAAGACGCGTGTGTATTTTCAAACATTGTACGACAGATTTTTAATATTGTGTTAATGCTCCGGCTTGTTACCGCGAGCATCGTACGCTGATCATCATCATGATGATGATGCATGTTTGTATTACCGCTTCGAAGCGATGTGTAAGAGAGTGAGTTTTCGGTCGCGTCCTCGTGAACGTTCACACATGTTGTCATTTGTGTTCGGTTCCTGAAACTGATGTGTGCATCTTCGTGTGTTGTATTTGTTTTGCACAATATCCTAATCGGTTGCGCCGCGGATTTGCCTCAATGAAATTTGTTGCGCCGATGATGTGCAGCACGGTGCGACCGAAGTGAATATGCTATCACCATTAGCCAGTTTGAGGGGTTGAATTGTACTGGCGACACACACAGAGAAACAATTTCGAACCGAAAAAAATATAATAATTCCTTGCTACACCAAAACCAAATACCAGTTGCGATCGAAAAAATATTATCATCTCGTGCATGGACACAAACAGTTCGACAATTAAACGACATAAAAAAAAGAGTTCTCGGGTTCATCATCAGCGATAAGCGATTTAACATCGCTACACACCAACCAATTCGAAATTAAGTTCGCTTTTAGTGGCATCATTTTTATTTATCATATTCAGTGTCATAACGTTACCGGCTACAGCACCGACCAGACGCACATACCAATCACTCTCTCATCATATTTTTAACGAACTTTTTTTTTCTTCAATCCAACAACGATAAAACGAGTTGTATTTAATCAAATATTTTTCAAAAAAAAAATTTCATTGGAAATTTATTAAATTTCAATAAAAAAATTCTTATTCTATATCTGAATTGAATTTGTGCGATTTTTTGAATAATTATTTTGGTGAATAGATTTTAAAGCATTTATTTTTTTTTCGTCGGTGAAAGTGTTTCGGTGATGTCAATTTTTCAGACATTTTTTACAAAAGAAAAATATTTTAAAAAGTGTTTACCTGAACGAATTTTCGGAAAAAAGATGAATTATTCAAAACATTAACAATTGTTAAATCAAAAGTGACGCAAATCCACATTTACTTGAATTAAAAAGAACGAAATGGTTTGAATTCATTCAAAAAAAATAATTGCCGTCGGCTTGTTATCGCATCGTAATTCAATAATTTGACGTTATTATATTGACGTAGAAGAATTGTGGTGCAAAAACACGTCAAAATTAAAAACAGATTAAATAAGAAATAAAATTAAATAATTTTGTGCAAAAAGTGTGAAATGAACTTAGAATCAATGCCGCGCCCAGAAACGATACACGTTACAGCTCCAGCTGCTATCAGCCGCCCAATGATAAATTCACAAACATTGCCACAACGATCACCGTTTGCAATTCAAGAACTGCTTGGCCTAAGCGAATCATCTCGATCAACCAATTCAAACAACAATCCAAATCATTTGAACACCAGCTCAAATAATAATAATAATAACAGTGGAAATGGTGCTGTTTCAGCAGTGACACCATCGCTCTATTCAAATGTTGGTCAAACACCGTTTGTTGGCAGTGATCATCATCAAATGACCATGGCTGCATCTCGGATGGCATATTTCAATGCTCATGCTGCTGTTGCGGCGGCTTTCTTACCACATAACATTCCCGGAGCTGGAGGACATCTTGGCTTTCATTCACAAGCACCAGGTAAAACATTTTTTTTAATGATTAAAATACAGTTAAAAATATGATTCATTTCATTAATAAAATGTGTCCAAAACAATTCCGACCGAAAAATTATTTCCGAAACACTTGTTCAAACAATCTAATAACGCGTCAATTATATGCAAAAAAATAGATGATATTTAATTTCGAACAATTCAGTGAGAGTTTGAATTTTTCTTAAATGTAATTTTTCAAATTGCCACAGATTTCAAGGAATTGAATTCATGTCAACAATTTAATGCTGCTCATGTAATTAATTCAAAACGATATTGACTTTTAACACCGTCAAACAAACTTCTGTACAAAAAGAAAGCAACACATTTTTACTGTGCTTGAGATGCATCTTATCTGGATAATGCTATCATAAAGAAATGGAAATTCTATTGAAACCGCAGATGCATCGTTGTTCAATTCTCTTTTCATTCGCGCGAGAGCGTTATAAAACCAGCATAAAAATACGGCACAGAAAAAATGCTGTGCATAAAGAAATCTGTTCTGATTGTAGCGTTAAAATTGAGCCTAATTGAATTGGAAATGTTTGGTGCCAGAATTTTAACCTTCATAATTTTCGCAATCATTTTATTTCCATGCTCATAGCTGTTTGCATTCCTTTTATTTCAATTTGGTTGTGGTGTTTGAAACGTCTTGAAAACATTTTTTTTTCTTATTCCTCGATGAATACAAAAACGAAAGAAAAAAGGCAACGACAACAACAGCAGCAGCGCCCGAGAGAACAAAACAGAGAATGTGTTATACCTGAACGCTTTTCGATTCTATTCAATTCACGCGACTCTATTCAAAATGCAGCATTCCATTGTTCTAAGTCGTAATACGACTCTGTATTTGTACTCATTTCGTATAAACGGCTACCAGCATTTGGACACACATATTCCATCACAAGCACGACAAATCATCCGCCAGCGTTGAAGAAGAAAAAAACAAACTATGCAAACATGATTCAGATTTGAATAAAATAAATGCATGCCAACGACACTTCGTTCATCTCACAAGAAACTATCACACATAAATATGGCTCGATTATTCATTCTTTTGTACGCTGTGAGGGAGTCTGGAATGCCGCATTTTTCTTGAACATTTCTTTGATTGACCTCTTGTTAAATTGCTTTAAATACCAAAAACCATATTCAAATTACAGTTATCTTGCAGCAGTATATAATATTGCCTGACCTCAGCGACCGCATTTTGGTCAGATTTAGAAGTTTTTTTTACGCTTTTTGTTGTCGTTGCAACGAATTTTATTTTTGGCTCACCGAAAGTGGCTTGCATAATTTCAGCTTAAAAAAATGAACAAAACAAAATTAGCACGTAAAAAATATACACAGTATTGTATATTCATGACATGTGACCTTTAGTTCTGCTCCTGTCAGCCGTAATGTTGACACCTCAATTAGGACTTTTTTCTCTCCTATAATGTGGCATCTCTTTGATGTTGGAAAAAGTGATTGATTTCAACGTGTATCGATAGGTGATTTCCCTTTGAGCAAAATGTCGAGATGTGGCATTTCCAAATGGTCAGATATGACGGCAATTGAACAATTTCATACCACATCATTGGAACAGAATTAATAGATTATAGTCACTTTGAAGCCATATCGAATATCACAAGATAAAAGCATTTTATAGTTCAAATGCAAATGCGTTTTGTTCTAAGCCAATTTCAAAATATTCCTTTTTTTCAAGTCACCAATTTTCGTTAAAACTTACATTCAAACACACATCTTCAATTTGACTGATAATTTACTGTTGAAAAAACTTACAATTTAAATCAATTTAAATTGGTTGTTTATCAAGTCGTCGAACTTTTGAAAAAAAAAAATTGTGAATAAATTTATTAACCTTTGGATTCCGTGGTAACCATATCGAAATAAAGTTGTTTGGATTTGTCCCAAAATTGTCGCATTTCAACGATGTGGAAAAAAATTATAATGATTCTTTTTGTGCAACAATAAGCGAACGTGTTAAAGTGTATCTTGGAATGTTGTGTTTTTCCCAATTTACCGTAAAAAAAGGAATTTTTCATCATACAACAGTTTCAATTTGAACCTTTGTTACCCTACTTCACCATTGTTTGCACCAATTTTCAGCACTTGTTTTTGTGCTTGTATCCCGATTTCACGGCTCTCAAGTTAATTTATTATTTAGCATACCGAAATATATTCAGTGGCAGTTGTATTTAGATAAATATACATTTGTCGTCGTTGAATTTTGAAGCGGTGGTGGTGTTTTACAATATGCCAACAAAATGTTCTTTAACGCGGCAAGCGTGGCTGATTCAATGGAAGCGCGACAGCATATAAAACAAATAAAAACAAACAAAATGTGAAGAGAGAGAGAGAGAGCGAGAGAGAGAGAAAGCGAGAGAGAAAGAGAGAGCGAGAGAGAGAAGAAAACGACACAAAAAACAAACAATCGAAAGTAAAAAAAAATTGAAACGGTTGACGAACACTTCGCTTCGTGCTGAATCAAAGTTATTTTTTCACTGAAGTTTGCAGCTAATATCCTTTTTTGGAAAATGAAGGAAAAAAACAGCAGCACTGCTTTCAGAAAAGACAATGATGAAGATGAAAGTGTAAAAGAGTTGTGGTAGTAATCAAAGCGGGATAGAGGTGAATGTAGAAGTTATCTTTGTTATAATCAGGGAAAATTGAAAAATTAGCGACTTGCTTTTGCTCACAGGCACAATGTGTCTGAACACACTTTCAAACCAATTTCAAAGTCGCGTCTTTTCATTTGAGCGGTTTTCGGTGTGAAGTGTAGTACAACCGACTCTTTTATCAAGCGCATTGAAAATGCTGCATATATGTATAGTTCGCGAATACATGTTCACCTGGGAAAATTGCATAATTTACGGAGTTTTTATGCAGATGAAAAAAATCGCGAAATATTCTCGACTTTATGTTGCAGCATCCGAATCGAAATCACATATTCGCTATTTAGAATATTTTAATTAACCTTTAACTTCCACTTATGTCCTGAAGTGACTACGTGTACTTTGTATGAATGCCAAAACGGTGCACAATTTCTCTCTCGCTTATTTCGCATTCATGCTATTTCGCCCCCTACATCATCCCAAGATGAACAAAACCGATTAAATGTTTCTATTTCAGAGGTTAATGAATTTCAAATGAAATGGATTCGCATTTACATCACAAATACAGTTTTTTTTTTCTTGGTACAAAATCATTTGAAAAGAAATGCTAAAATTAGAGTGTTGAATCCGCGATTCTATCTCGTTGCATTTGGGGAATTATGATGGAAATTATAGAACGTTCATTTCTTTTGAAATGGTTTCAGAAACTTGATAAATAGCAATTAATGGTAATATATTCTTCATTTTCGATTCATTTTTCTTTTCAAATTTTAATTGCACAAGATGTCGGTAATAATTCAATTTCCTCTATTGATAAATTATTTTCAGAATTAGAATTGTTGCGTATTGTGTATAATGTGTGATATGATTCCACAATTTTATCTTGGCGCGTGACCTTTTTTTCTATGAAAAGTGCCGTAAATGATGTTGTTTGTTCAGAGGTGTTGATGTGTATAAACATGTGTGTGTGTGTGCACGATGCGCGCAGATAAGGCGACACTTTAATGAATGAATTAAATAGCACATGTCTAATGTCATTGTATGCAAGTTTTGCGCGATGGCATGGATGCGAAACTATGTGTATTGTGCAGGTAAACATTGACGCTCTCAATGTGTACATTTCTCATATAATTCGTTTTTTTTTTCTACCTCTTCTGTTATCATTTACTGTGTCATCTGGCAAATGTAAAAGTACACCGAGTACCTTGCGGCATTGTTTAACACAAAAAAACTGTTTTAATATTACTATATGAACCGTTGAATGTGTTCATAAATTTTCGAATCAACTAACATATTTTTAATTGTCACCGTTCAGTTGTGGCACAGTAATTCAATTAGGAAATACAAACATCCTGTTCTCTAGAAGCGACGTGGATGCGCTTGAATAATTACAAAAGTTTTCGTATTACTTTCATTACATTAGAAATTGAGCATTTTTTAATTCACCATACAAATGGAGCTATTTAATCGGATCGAAAAATGAATAGATTCATAATTCGAATTGAAAAAAAATTAAAATGAAATTGAGTAAATCGAATCATCGCTGAAGAATGAATAAAAATATGTTTATTTAGATTTTTTTGCTGACAAACTAATAAAGTTACAATTTTTCCCACCCAAAGTGTTACTTTTGTGATAAAAACTTGTGTTGTACTACACAGAGTGTAATTTGTGTTTTTATAGAATTTGATGCGTGCTCCTCTTCATGCCAACAACAATTAAACTAATTAGCACTTTTTCACACTTCTTTGCTAATTTATTCGGTATGACGTGTTTGTGTATATGTGGGTGAGGATGGTTACTTGGATGCAAACAACCGTTTCAATGCATCCATATATACATACATGTAGAAAAATCAGAGGAATTGGTGGATATACACAATGGAAAATAAGCCCATTGAAAGCGCGTCAGTGTGAACCATTCTCGATGCATTGTTTTTGTTTGAAGATTGTTTTTTCATCTCTGCGTCACTTTAAGGTATAGATGAGAAAAAAGTCTCAATAAATAAAAATATGGCGGCATCGTGCATATGAATACGCCGTGGAGCGATGAACACAATGAGTACTTTGGTTTCGAATGAATACTTCGGAAATCGATAACATGACATTTTTACTCAACCGAATAATAAAAAAAAGATTTGAAATCAATAAAACAAACCGCCCTATTTCAGCTGCTTGTACAATTGAATCGGTGAGGGATTTTTTCTCGCTGTAATGTTTTCCGATATTCTGGTGCCGATAAATAGAAATGAATTTGCTATTCAACTTGTGCCAATTCATTCACACAATTCCAAAAATAAGTTCCAATGTCAAATTTATATGGAGAAAATGGAATGAAATTTCTTACTTTACACCGATATGAAATACGATATTTTTTTACGTACGCGTATTCAAACGGTAGCTATAGACATAGTCTGTACGTCTGTCTTGGAATTTACTCGAAATACGTTGCTTTCTTTTTAAAATTTGTTTTCTTCGAATTAATTTTTTTTATAAAGCAAAAAATCTCAACAAAAAAATTCTATTTGTCGAGAATTGATGAGTTAATAAAAATAAACAAATCACAAGTGAGAAAATCGAAAAGAAAACAAACGCGTTAATCACTCAAGTTGAGCCCTTTTTATTTTCTCTTTGCTACATTTTTGTTGTGGTTTTTTAGAGATGGTCGTGTCAATTCTGAAGCCAGAATCCCTTTCAAGTATCAACTTGTTCTTGCTTAATTTAAGTAAATAAACTGAAGCATACAGTGTGAGAAAAATGGTGATTGTGTCAGTTTTTATTTATTCTTGCTCTGTATTTTTCCTTCGAACATATGTGAAAACAGTATGAGTAACTGCACTTTACATTATTAGGCATATAATGAGGCTCAACATTTTGCAGTTATAAAAAATGCATTTATTACTACGCAACTTGTAAATTTTTTGACTATGAGACGGAATTTGCTTGAAAACGAAATTTTTATCATGTGTAAATAAAATGTTTCTCGCTTCTTGGATATAACATAAAAAGATGTTTCGATTCAATGATTTTTAATAAGATGTAGTGAAAACGTTTTCATTTATCGGTAAACAAATTAGATGATGAGGCAATTTATCGGCAATTACATCGTTATACCAACGTTCACACGTATTTCCAAAGATCATTTCGTGAACAAAATTGAATACAAATGTTATTGTAAGGATTTATCTTTGATCGAAACACAATTGTGGATGGCAATGTGATTTGTGTTGTGTGATTCAATGGCCAGTCATTACGAGGTTAAATTGTTGTTTTCGAAAGAAATTTCCATTTATTTTTATTATAATATCAAGTGATTTTTATTCAGAGAATCAATGAATTCATTATAATTGGTACTTCCATGTCAGTCAACATTGTGACAGTCAAAGAAACATCATTGCCTTTCGCGTCATTTGTAAATGTGCACATATCGTGTCTTATAATAATTTAATTTGCTTTAACAATAACTTTCTCGAGTGTCAGTTCGGGCCGATGCATTTTTGTTCTGACAACAAATGATTATAATAATCGTCCGATTCGTAGTATTTTGTTTGAAAGAGTTCAAATCAATTCAACACGTAAATTGCTCAAATTAAATGATTTACATCGTTTGAAAAAGAGAAACAGTGAGAGAGAAAAATGCGATAAAATTTCAATCATTAACCCGATACTCAAAAGCAGCTGCATCCTATTGAATTGGTGTTAACTCTTTTTTTTCTTGTTGTACAAATGTTCACACCTTCGAAACGGAACAAATGCTTCATGGAAAATAAAAGGCGACAGAAATCAAAGATTCTATTCTTCAAGCGCCAATTGGTCGTACATAATACTCCATCTCTAGTTGGAACTCGTTTGAGCAAAAAGTGTCGAGGCCTGGCTGCAAGAAAGAAAGATCAAGAGTGAGCAAGAGAAAACGAGAATAATCCGTTCAATACACATTTTTCTAAGGAAATTCGATGACTTGATAAAACCGTAAGTGCGTTGAGAGAGTAAAATAACATGAATTGACACGGAAACGTACAATAAGTATATGGGCTGAAAAGTAATAGAGATGAAAATCGTATTGCAGCTTTTGTGTGCAAGCTGGTCAATGGGATTCGATCATTTTCAGATAAACGACATAAATTGTCCCATCGAATTAAATTGCTCTTTTTTTATGACCACGAAACTCACATTCAATATGCTAAACAATATTTTCGCTTCGTGCATCAATTTTGAAACGAGAAAAAACATCTCAATTCTCAATTTCGAATTTACCTGCTTCTTAAATTGATGTATGCTTGAGCGAACCACGTAAATCGAAATGCAAAAACTTTTTCAATGGACTTAGTTTTATTTACAAAACAACTACTTACTTGAATATACCACAAGACATGGCCTGTAAAATGGTCCACTCAATGACATGCATGATACACGATTGAATATGATTCAATTGTTTGGCTTTACTTGAGCACTTATTGAAATCGAAGCAATGAGAGAGCGAGAGAAAGAAAAAAGACCCGACTGGTAAATCGGAACTTAAGGAAGTGGTAAATCTTTTAAACCGCCTTAAAATGGCCTTTCCATTCAAAATGTTTACCTTTCAATACCATTCAATCGAAAACGGATGGAATATATGTGGGAACATGGTGATGTCAATACGATTTTGCTGCTGCTCTCTTGCAATAAATATACCTTTGTTTACATATATCGAATGCTTTTTGAATGGCATATATGCATGCCAAAGTGAACGAGCAAGTTTACCGAGAATTTTCGTTTATTTATTGAGCAAGTGAGCATTTTATATTGGAAGACGACATATTCTTTATTCGCATGTCAATTTGAAAATGTAATCGTTATCCAATCCAAGATGATTTGTATACCGAAGCAGTTGAACGCATTTGTCGCATAACATTGGTTTTGCATGCCAGAACCGAATGCCATCGACAAACTTGCGAAAATGTGTATTTCACTTATCGTTTGCACTTTTTGTAATCACACACAAAAATAGCACTTCCGTTACGATTGTTACTCCCACCATCGCTCCCTATCACTCTTTCTATTTACTTTTTTTCTGCATACCTGCACGGATATGGTGTATTGCCGACCCTCAATGACGACAAAAAAAAAAGATAAACGTGTCGATATTCCACATAAGATCCTACAGTTCATATGTTTACATTTCGAATTCAAAGAAATTGCTGCTGACAATTTATCGAAAATTTGTTACCGAAAATAGTTTATTTTATTCGTGCAACACTTTTATTGGGGCGTCAAGAATGCGCACATGAAAAATTCCAATCAAATGACTTAACAAAGCGAACGCAATACGTATCTGAACTATTCAACATTTCGTTCATCTTGAGACGTGTCACTACTCAACGTGTGAATTTCTGCATCTGTTTTTTTTATGCGCTCGTGTAAGTGGCATTTGTATTTCAAATGTTTGCAAAAAAGCGAGAATTCGAAATAATTCAACTTTCGTTACGAATTTAAATATTTTTCACGTACTTCGTTCAAATAGAAAAATTGCTTGGAATTCATGTAGAAACATGCAGAAAAATCCATTTATTTTGATTTGAAAAAGCAAGCTCGAATTGAAAAATCAAGGCATTTTTTTTTCAACATTATTACAATCGAATATTAGCTATATTTTAAGCCAATTGTGTTCAGGTTTTTTTTCTTCAATTATTTCCTTTTTGAACTGTGATTTGATCCAAATGAAGTGCAAAAAAAACTAGAGCGCAGACGTTCGGCTTCCTTGAAATTTATCTCAATTAAATCTTCCCATTTTTGTGTTGTTTTCATCAACTTATTGCCCATATAATTCGATTACAATAACGGTGTCCTTATGTTCTTACATTCACATCGATCTTTATCTAAATTGTTCATTTTTTTTTCTTCTTTCCGTCAATTGAGACTACAAAATAGAGATTTCAATAAAGAACACGAGAAAACTAAACCATTTAACTATTCTATTCAATATCCAAGGACGCATGTTCAGTTTTACAGGATAAATCATTTTCGGTTATTCGATCTGTGGTACACTTTCTGTAAAAATGAATCAAATCAAAATATTATTGTGCCGTTCTTTTGTGAGGGCTTTTAATCTTTATAATCTGGGCAAATGCCATTTCTTTTGCTTCACGATTTTGTTTTGTCATAAGTAACCACAAGATGGGTATTAACTAGTCGAAAAACATATTGTTTGCAAAATTGATGTTGATCGTATTTCATGCGTCGTCCTTTTTCTTCCTATTTTCCATTCACACTCTTCGCAAATGATTTGTAGCATTTGCAGAACAATATTTATGTGTGCATGCGGTTAACGGGAAGCATCACACTTTAATCTCAATTGCTAGTAAATTTGCTGAGAAAATTATTTTTGCATTCGCATGATGTGAATTGAATCCTTTCACTTGATCCAATAAATAAGAGTTGCATGGTACCAGTGCGTTATGCCGATCGAATATCACGAAATTTACTTCAATTTTATCGAAAAACATGAAATTAAAAACGATGTATATTTATTTCCAGGATTTTCGCAATTGAAATCATCGTTTGGATCGGCAACGAGTCCATGTTTACCCGGTAAGTGTGTCTATAAATCACAATTATGTGTACAATCGTATGAATGAGACGTGTTAATCTGTCACAAATTCACCAACTGATTGAATATCATGTGAACATACCCGTGAGTTGATTTCCCCTTTTTTTGATGAGACATTGGAAAATCTGCATACATGGATAAAATCCAATTCGAAATATAAAACATCAACAGTCGAATTTGATTCGAATTTTTGTCGCATAAAACCCATTCAATACCATCGCATGAAATAAATGGTAGAAAATGGTTCGACATTCATTGGCCACATTCAGTGCGATAATTTGATTTCGAAGTGAAAGAAGAAGACGAAAAACAAAAGCGATGACGAACAGAACGTGCAATTGAATAGAATGAAAAAAAGGAACTTGCAACACAAGAACTACGAACGAGAATAATGAACGAATGGAGTAAACGAGTGATGCAAAAATGATGTTGAATTTTATTGTGTTCCATGCGCTGTTTTAATTCAATTGTTGCTTTTGTTGTGTGTATTTCAAATATGATGAAATGGCATGGAACGATAGTGATGGCAGCAGCCATAAGAGGCCATGCATATTGTGTAGTCAATCAGCTACCAGTCATATGTGTGTGTGTGCATATGTATATCGGACACCGGTAAAGCGGATGTTGATCTTTCCACATGCACACAAGAAAATTGTGTGCGGTGAATGGATGCGAAAATTCTGGTTTTGTGTGAAAATAACACGTAAATTTGTAATAAGCTGGTGTGTATGCGGAACGGCATCGACATGGATGATGAGGATTTCATCAACACACACACACAAATATCGGCTTCTACGTAATATGCGCTTCGAAGATGAGAATAAGCGACAAGCAACGAATAAAACAGCGAATGGAAGTGTTGTATAATTGCCATGCCAACGTTTGTTCACAGAACCAAACGAACCGTGGTGCCGACGCTGATATTATACAAACGGCTTGACAGTAACAATAAAACGCTGATACATAAACCGTGATACATATAGAAGGCACTGTTCTTATATACTAATTTATGTCGAATCTAAATGGGCTCATTCGTAGCACACGAGTGCAAAGCAAAAAAAGAATGAATACGGCGTGCGTGTATATGTGATTGCGTTTCGGGATTTTTTTACATAAACGTTTTGTTGGCTGCATTAGCCATATTCTGATTTTTTTTCGCATGAGAAAACGACGGAACGATACAAAAATGTATAATTACAACAATGTCTAGTCAGTTGACGGTACATCGGAAAACCATTGCATCAGCACTACTTTTTTCCTTTCTTCTCTTGTCGAAAAACAAACTGTCGAAAAATAATTCAGTTTTTTTTATTCAACACCATGGGATGCATTAAAATGGCGACACAACACCGGCAATAACAATGGACGTGCAATTTTATTTGTCTTATTTGTTGTGTGGTGCATTAAAAAAAAGACTAAAACAATGACTTATTTAGAGTACATATCGTTATAGAAATCATTCATTTTGCTACGCCTTCAGCATTATTTATGGTCTGCTGCTTACTATCGGTATCATCTCAAACAAAAGGAATTAATACAACACTTGATTGAAAAAAAGACATAAAAAAAAACCATCCTTAATGATTAAAATGATAAAAAATGCCTTTTGTCATCGGAATTGAGACATTTGCAAACGGAATTGGCCACTTTTCAACGAAGATAATATGATTAAATAACTTTTTTTTCAAATAGCATGTTCCTACTTTTCTGTTGAGAAAAAAAATAATCGAATGTCGTTAAAAGTATGCCATCGAAGAATACGTCATTTTTCACATCCATTGGCACTGTGACTTGGGCATAGAAAATTCCATGGTGAAAAATAATTATCGGTCTATGCGCAGCGTTCTCTAGTATTTGCATTTTTCAATGGAAAGATATGTGCAATCGTACAATTTATATAGTTAGTCATTTTCCCATTTGAATCATCGTCATCATTATCACACGAAGCATGTAGTACTTGAGCTATCACCGAGACAACACACACACATTTCAACGGAAATGCAATTTTCCAAAGTGCCTCCGAGCATATCAGCTTATCTTCTCTCCATTCGAATGCCACCTACATCATTTCATTGGTGAACAGAGTTTTTTTATCTTCTCTCTCATTGTGCTGAGATGCAAATATGGCAATCAGCCGATGTGAGCCAGTTAGTTTGCTAGTTTTCTCCATTTCCTTGAAATTTCCTGTGTGTTTGCATGTGTGTGTGAGAGAGGCGCATAATGAATCGAATGACGATGAAACTTCCAACTATTTTTTAATAAAAGATGCTCGGAAAAGTAGGGAAAAAATTGTTCTACATGTTCACATATGGAATTATTATTATTTGTGTGCGAGAGAGAGCAAGAGGTAGAAAGAGAGAGAGCGTGCAAGCGAACATTCCAAATGGCATTGTGTTCATGTGAATAGGATGATATCGTCGTCGGCAATCCAATTCACATTGCATCGCCTAACTTTGGTATGAAATTGCGCTAATGGCCATATGGTATTTCAAGTTATTGAATGAATGTTCACTCGTCGACTCGTGTTATTCTCAACGATACACACACTCACAAACAAATCGGTAATGTGTGAATGGGGACACACAGACATCCAATATCAAACCGAACTTATTCGCCCTGAAAAATGTTAAGTGACTCCGTTTGCAATTCGATTCGACGAATCGAAATCACTTTAAACTGATCTGGCTGTGTGTCATAAATGCATTCAATCTTTCTTGCATTTCTCTGTGCCATCAACCATTTTTCATTCGATGCTGATGTATCCCACTTGGTCGTATTGTTATTCAAATTTTGCTTTATATACGGTTGCACATCATCTAAGCCGCATTGAGATACGACTATTACCATCATTATTATCAACAGTCAAGTCAACAGTAGTGGCTCAACAAAACTTTGCTCCATTCGACAAAATTGTAGTTTTACTACTTATGTGAAAAACTACTTTGTGTGCATGTAAAACTTCAACTAATAAATGGCAAGCACACAATCTGCTGCACACCAAATTACGCATTTTACACTAGTTATGCAACCACTACACAAAATAATCCTTCAAATTTGCACTTTTTGCGGATGTATTGTATGAACAAAATAATATCAACAACTCGGTTAAAGTAGAAGCTTACTTGTTATTCATTTTTTTCTTGTTTCTCGGTTTCTTCAAGCCTTCTAATCTAATTTCAAACAAAGATAGAGCTTTTCGTGAATAGGAAAATATTTCTATGAGAATTTACTATTTTAAAACTTGGTTCGTCATTTGATTACGTAAGATTGTTCTTCATTTGCTTCCGCAACCGCAACCAACTCTAATGGCTGCAATAGTGTGCCAACTGAATTATCTTATCCGGTAGCGCGTTGACGAAGACAACCAAGTAAAACATTATACAGGATTTCCAGGCACAATTTGTGTTGCCAATGCACGTAAATAGGCTCGGAAATGTGTAATTTAGTTTAATTTCCCTGCAGGTACCCAAAACGAGTTATCTGCACAAAAGCGTTTACAATAAATCAGTTAGTTTCTATTATAACACGTTGGTTGCACGTTTTCTCGCCTCAATTTACTGTGTTTTGCAGATAGTGCACATATTCTATCTAACTGAATATGATTATTATGAATTGACAATTAAACGAACAATATCGTGCAGATTTGAAGAAATACTCCAATTTCTCAGAGTCTCTCTCTCTCTCTCTCATCAAAATAGCTTTTGTTTTGCAATTCAATTAATATTTGAAACTACAAATATAGAGCCCGGCATGGGCCACATGCGCGTCTTTGAATTATTTTGGTCATTGTCAATATAAATAAAGAATACCAATTATAAAATCCAGGTCAGAATGTGTGTTCATATGAGACTGACATTTAAATCGAAAATTTGCTTTTAAATGCAAAATCAGCTTTATTATCTAATATAAATGCCAATGTCCTGTCAACGATACATCAGGAATGGCCAGAACACCGTTTCACCCTCGATGATGCAATTGAATTTTCCGAATTTAATGAAACGGATAAAAACCTTAATTAGTGATTTATGAGCTCATTAAATGAACAAAAGTATCACTACTTTTGAATGTGACTAGCTTAACGAAATTCATATATTAGCATGACTCGTTGGAATTTTCCAATATGAGCTGCGTATGTAGAGAAAATGCAGTAACAATTTTAAAAGCTCACTCAATGTTAATTTCGATTAATTGCGATGTGCGCATTAGCAAAATGCGTACACACACAATTATCACATTCCACACGCACAACCGAACTGACACGGAATATAAACGTAACATATGTGGTATGTTGAATGTCGATGCGTGGAGAATCGCAAGGTACCCGCTAGTGTTGATACATATTGACTAAACTCATATGTGATATTATGTATATAATTCGGTTAAATTACGGTTGCAAAAGGAACGAATGATAAATAAATGCAACAACTGAAAAATGCCATTTAATGCCTTGGAACATTGGATTTTGTGTAATTGGAAAAGGGTTGAACTTTGAATGTGAACGTGTTTATGAACGATACGTATATGTGGCTCTTTTATCGGAACGATGAGAGTACAGAAAAGTGATTTCACATATGGAAACCGAAATTCGATATTATTTTTACTGCGAATGTGTAACGAAATTGAAATTGTATCGCCCCCTTTGTGTGTATTTTTCGGTTGCGGGTGAAAACAGTTGATGGGTTGATGATGGTGCTGAAAATGTTAACTTATTGCCGCTTGATTAATTAAATTTGCCATATTAGTTTTTGCGTAAGATAAACTTGCACTCATACAAAGTCGTAAGTTAGCTATTTGAAAGCGTCTGGAGGTTGAAGAATTTTTGGACTACGCCGAATTATTGAAAAGACGCAATGCGACAAACGTTCTTGAATGGAGTTGTTAAAGAATCTTCGATATCATCAAACAATAGAAATGTATTTTAACTAATACGATACTCAACGCTTATTCAACATTAAATCGTATAAATTTTAATGTAAAAACTTTTTCAAAACACGTTTTTGAGGAAAATTCGTAACATTTAATTCCTGGTTGAAAAGACATAATACCATTTTAGATTTGCATATATGTAAATGTTGATCGATATCTATATCGTTCTTGAATAATAATCCAAGGCAACAAATGACGAATACATGAAATACGTCAAATGACATTTTTTCCCTTGTATATACAGACATAATGTGAGCGCAAAAAAACATCCCAATTTTTATCTATCTAATTTGAAATACAGAAAAAAGAGTATATTCGATGCATGAGTAATTGGCATCCATTTTTAACAAGATCATCGTTAGTAATTCGTAGTCGTGTCCAATTCGACCGATTGCCATGTTGAATTTATAAGTCATTAATATTGTACGGCAAAACTGTTCCAAATGAAAATCTGTATATTAGTATGTGAGCGCACGAAAAACACTTGAGAGCTCATAAAATTTCTTATTTAATGGTACTTGACTTTCTCAAGCATTTATTTATTCGAGCGAATTTCAATTGAATTGCCTACGCAGAGCGATGCAGATAAAACTCGTTAATCGAAAATGAAATACGATGAAAGAGAGCGATATACAGAGAAAGAGAAAGAGAGAGAAAAGAAAGAAAGGCTGAAAAGAGGAACGAGATAAAATTGTGAAAAGGCGGTTGAGGTGACGTCGGTCCATGAATAAAATCCTCTACATAATTCAACGAACAATTCGAATTTCAAAGAAACCAAAGTCGAGTTGACTCTTTACGCTTTTTTATACCCGGCCAAATATAAATTGCAATAAATTTTCTTCAGTCTTGTCGGCCATATTTTCTTTTTTTATGCCATGGAATTTTTGTTCAACTTGAATTCACCGCAAAGTTTTTAATTGGTTCACCTTTTTATTGCAATTCTAAAGTTAATTTATATTTATGACGACCTGAAAAATCTTCCATTCATTTTATAAAAAAAAACTAATTAGTTCTTACATCTATTTTACCATAAAGTAGAAACAAAGTCCAATTAAAAGTATTTAATAAATTTCATGGAATATTTGAATTGGGCGAGCAACAAAAAATTGCGCAAAATTAGAGCAATTCAAGAAGTTTTTTTCTTTCATTGTAATGCATAAATTAAGTCAACTTTGGCTAATTTACAAACTTTGTGTTAAATTTGAAAGACTGTCCCCAGCGCATACAAAATAATAAAAAATGGATGTTCATCACAAGAAACTACCACTCTTATGAATGAAAGGGAAATCGGTTCAAAAATTCTGAATATTACCGGCGTTCATATCAAATTACTCTATTTAGTTTGAATAAAACGCTTTAAATTATATTACTCAAAACAGAATAAAGCGACCTATATTTAACTGCTTTTTTCTTCGTCACACTCCAAACAGTCTATTAAATTCATATTTAATCAATACGGTGATGAAACGAATTGAATAAATATTTTGACAATTTGAAATAATGATTTTAGTGTGCGAGAAATCCCGTATGGAAAAGGGTTGCACTCCCGTTAAATTATCATGTTTATTGATTCTTTTCGCAATTTTTTTGTTGTCCTCATTCGTTCAACCCAAAACGATTATTAAACTCACAGAGAAAAAAAACATAACACTTTCATTCGATAACAATTGTTACCGACAATTTCATTTCCCAATATTACGCAATGTGCATTCAAAACCAACGAATGAATTACAAAAAAAATGGTGCCGAATAAATTGAGCACAAATTATAATGTATAATTTTGTTGGCATTGTATGATAAATGAAACGTTTATTGTTTGATGAGCTACTTTGACATCGAAATGAGAAGGAACTTATGGTTTGACTACTGAACAGAGAAAAAAAAATATTACCAAACTCACACACATGGCAAATGATTTATGTTAAATAAGCGAATTATATTGAAACGAAATAAAAAAAAATAACGAACAGAAACGCTCACACATCACCAACAAGCCAATGAAGCCAAAGCGAATGTTGATTTCAACCAGGAAATTGACAAAAATATGGAAATAATTTGATTGGCGTTCGAATAAACCACAAACCAATTAATAAATAGGCATTTCAATGTAATTCGACTTTTTGTTGAGTATTATGTCAAAATATTTTAATGGTCTCTGGGTTCGACTCAAAATTATGCTAATTTATTTGAATTATGAAAAATCGAACGTTCGACAAACATCAAAAAATTGAAACCAAAAAAGTAATGCATTAAAGTTTGAATAAAATCACACAAAACATGAATTTTCAAAATTACGTATAAAATCTGCTGTTTCAAATTGATTTCAAAATACTGTGTAACGAATCGAAGAGGAAATTTTTTCCTCGGATTGATTTAAATCGATTCATGAGTAGAAAATATCAAAATTACAAAATAACCAATTTGAAAATGTGATTGGTATTGATAGAAAAGCAATAACTTAGCATTGACAGACATTATTGCCAATATTCTTCAGTAAATTGTAATGGTTTGCATCTTTTGCCCGAGCTATTTAGAAAAGCAAACGCAAGATATAGGTATCGATTGATACACTGCAAATAAATGAAATCTTCTCGAATAAAATTCAATAAAATCGTTGTCTACGTATTTACTGTCGCAATGGATAAACGTCTGCGAATGGTTGTGTTGTCGATTCGATTTCGTCAACGAAATCTTGTTTATGAAACGCGACTATTTATCGGTTCAGTCAGCAGTTTCCTGAGCGAAAATTGTTTGTCAACCGATCAAAAAAGCGAGGGGGGTTCGTCAGAATGCCTGTAGTCTATAGAATGGATGTTGATGAAAAGATTAGATTTAAAAAAAGTTAAACCCAAAAGGAAATAATTGGTTTCGTTTATGAAATGTGTCAAATGAAATTTGAACATCGTTTTTTTCTGTCTCTATTTTTTTCTTTCTGTCGAACAGGTCACAGTCCGTTAGATGGCAAAGATTTTACGGTGGATGGCATCAATGGATTCGGTGGCAAAAAGAAAAAGAAGAAGCGACGTCACAGCCGCACCATATTCACTAGCTATCAATTGGATGAATTAGAAAAAGCATTTAAAGACGCTCATTACCCCGACGTTTATGCCAGAGAAATGTTATCGCTGAAGACAGATCTACCCGAAGACAGAATCCAAGTAAGTATAAACCGTTTTCATTTTTTGCAATGAAAAAAAAATCCGTGATTTCAAACAATGGCAAATTATAACCTTAAAAAAATGAAGCCTTTCTTTTCAACTGTCAATTAGTAAATTAAATTATTATAAAAAAATAAATAGCAGAGCATCGCACCGAGTTCGAATGAAGAAAAAACGGTGTGAACAGCAGTCATGAAAAAAAAAAAACAAAAAAAGTAAAATACCACGCGATAAAACCCACTTATCTGAGTCCCTTTTTGTTTTACAAAATGCCTTTGATGTGCGCACACATATTCCAAGACGCTCAAGTAATTTAATATTTCTGCACACGCATTCAATTTCGGTTTTCATTTTATCGCCTCCAGTCTACCGATCTCCATCGTCAAAGAAACTAATGGCACAACGAGGCAAAACAACTTAAACCATCTCATCTTTATCCAATGAAGAAGAATGGAAACGAAATGGTGTGTGTAAGAGCGCACGAGAGAAAAAAAATTGGTTTATAAATTAATCGTGGTACTCTTTTTTTCGCTTCAAAGAAATGTTGAAGTGAGATCACAAAAAAAAACACACAAAGATGAAAAGAATTGAACCAATTTACGTGCTAACATTTTGTAAAGTAGATGCCAAGTGTAATTGTATAAACAATATGCTCACACACAGAGACAAACACACCTTCACACACCCGAAACCCTTGACAGATTTTGAATGGATCGAAGCGCTAAATACAAATACAAAAAGGATTCGAAGGCGATAGAAACGCAGTTTTAACGCTCAAAAAATTTGCCTGCTAAACCAAAGAAGGTGTTGAATGTTGGCAAAATAAAAGGTATAAAAAATGGCTGCCGATGCGAATGGTATGTTTGCGCCACATTGTAAATGAGTAATTTTACCATTCGATCACGAGCTTCAAAAACCCACTCTTTGTATTTCATTATTTCTTAAGGTTTTATTTTTTACTTCATTACTTTTTTTAATGCCATTTTTTCAATTTCAACATCTTAAGAATGTTTTCAATGAAAATAATCGGCTAATTCCTTATTTCGGCAGCGACACAATTTTCCACGAATTTAATTTGTCAAACCGATAAACACAAAGACAATTTGCTCGGCGAAACTTCAATTTCGTATTTGAATTGCCGAAAAATAAATAGCAAATCGTCTTTTGTACGATGTATATAAGTGGATGCAGGCGCACCGTGGCTTCCACTTTTGTCAATTTTATAATTCAATTATACAGTTAGCATGGTACTTTAAGATATAACAAGCGCCATTTTCCAATTTCCTCCGCACAAATATATCTCATTATCGTATCTTTGTCACTCCTCGGTTTTCATCGGTTGATGTTATTCGTATTCAGCGTGACTTCCAAAATGTGGATTGGAGCGGGAAGTAGAAGCACTCTATTTGCTCAACATCAAAAAAAAAAACTTTTCGACGCACGCTTGCTATCGAATTTAGAGACAATTTTGGACGAAACGCTTGCATTTATGATTTATATATAATATAAACCACCCTTCGGCGCATCCAATACTGTACCGCATGCTGTTTGCATTGAATAAGCTTCGAGTGTAGACAAATAAAACAGCTCTGAAATTCGATAACAACTTATTATACATACGCACGCACGCACTTACCCACGCACAGCATACAGAATTTCAAGCATAAACCATCCTATCTACCATCAACCCGCCTCATTGTGACTCAACTCACTCTCTCTTTTTTTTGGTGACGCCAAAAAAAAGAAACAACGAACTAAAACATATAAATCGATTCACTCCTCAAAATTCTTTCAAACGTTGTCATTGCGCGGTAATTGTGTAGCTACTGTTTCAAATTCAACGTAAACGAGGCACATTGAAAAAAAAAAGAATCCACCATTTTTGCTGGCGACGATGCAGATTTGAATGGAAACAGAGCGACAAAAATGCTGGTTGCAGTCAAAATCTAACAAGCATCCAACCGCAAAGCAATAGTGTTTTTACCAGTCTGGCCCCTCTGGAGTATTGATTTTAATTGTAAAATTGTTAATTTGGAAAAGCGCACAAGAAGAGCGAAAAAGAGAGTATCCTAAATGGGAACCGATCGACAAGAGGCCCTTTTACCCCGTTTCAGTTTTTCTCTTTGCATCAACGCTCTCAGTCTGCCAACTGTATCAAAATCCAAGCCGTTTTTTATATGAGTCAAACCCGTAAATTGGGTTGTCGCATACAGAAAATGAATGTTCGGTCGAAAATCAAGGCAAAAGTGCTGTGTTGCATACATTATTTTGCCAAATACTCCATATTCTGGCACAGCAGACCGAAAATTCGTTCAAAGCGAGGGGGAAAGAAGAAGAAAAAAAAATGGTGGCGCCGAAAAACTTTTCTTTATACATCCATAATAATGGACCGAAAAATGGTACTTAACTTCAGAACCGAGCGACCAATCATAAATTTTAATTTCGTTGGACACATTTAAATTAAGAGCAACGTCAACGAATGACGTGCACAGGGTTACGGTTTTCTTGCTCCGAAAAGCCCATTGATAAAAAAACGGTGTTGAAGGTAACAATGGTATTCGGAATATCGGCTTCACGTTGAATTTTAATTGATTTTGAAGTTAATGACTAAAATATAAAGCTGTCACTGTTTGTCGTAGCGATGAAACTTGTTTACGGGAGTTTAATTATTTTCTTTATATTGACTCTCATATATCGAACGTCCAAGAGTCTGACGCTGTAATCCAATTCGCCGTTGAAAATTGGATCCTAATGGAGACTAATGCTGCTTTATTGAACTGAATAAGCAATATAAAGACGCAAACAATTTGGCAAAAACAAAGGCAAAAAAAAAAATACAGATAAACCCAAGCATCGTTTCTCCATCGCTGTTGGGTAACAACACCAATTATTTCATAATTTCCTTTTTTTATTTGTGTTTATGCGTTTTGTCTTGCTTGGCTGAGATGTGAATGTATTGATGCCGCGTCTGTTTTATATGATTTATATGTGTATTCTATTTTTCATCTTTGTACATATTACACACTGACGTAAATATCTCATCGCATGTGCTTCGTATTGTTGTTGTCGCATACTCAAAACGGCACGAGATCATTTCATTTGGATTTTATTGCCAAGCTCGAAGCAATATTCCGTTGGAGCTTTGTGAATTGAGCTGAGTGCCAATGTGCCAACAACAACAACAAAAAATTTATTCAGCATATGAAAATGTTTGTACAGACGAAATGTCTGCAGAAAGGCGAATAAGAAAATTCGAGCTCCATGAAATATTGTTGTACTAGCAAACGAACAACGACAACAGAAGAAAAACCCCTCTGAACAAGCAACAAAATTGAATGCGTTGTTAAAAGTCTCGTTGCCGTTTTTTCGATGTGTTTTATACAATGAAAGAAACAACACATAAACACATCTCTCCCTCTTTGAAATTTGGCGCTTTCGTCTCCATCATATCGAAGTCGAGTTGGCAAATATGTCGAAAAAGGAAAAACGTTGTCATGGTAATAATAAGGTTGGCCCTGCTACTTAAGTATACAGGCATTTCAAAATTGCTATCATCATTGTCAAGCAACGAATGTCGGTGTTGTTTAACTGCAACTCCCTTTCTCTCTGCCTCTTGCGCGTTTCCGTTACCGTCGCAACAGCTACACGCACGCATGCAACCATCATCATCATCATCACCATCATCATTAATTCGAACTCGATTCGTATTGTATGAATAGCATATATACTGTGATTACCACTGGAAATGAGTCAGACGAAAATTCTGAAGAGTTTATGGAAACATTGCTTCACATTTGCCTGAATCGTAATGAATAAATCACGTGCGCGCATGTCAAAATTTGGAAATTGGATTGAAGAATAGCTGGTTGCTGAATAAAACGACAAATTGGCATATTTGTTTGCGTTCTTCGGCTTTTTCTTCATTCCTTTGCTATTATTTCATATTCTTTATTGTCTTCTCTTAATAAGCCATAAGCAGAAAATAATACCTTCATCACTGTAACAAATAGAACTACATTTAGAAAATCACGGATCCTGTTAATTCTGTGTACATTTTTTTAAATTTGAAGTCATGAAATTTTCAGGTATAAAAAAACAGGTTGAAAAAATTAATTTAAAAAAAATATTTTGAAAAATGGAAATTGAAAAAATAATTATTAAACATGAAAAAAAAAAGATTCATAGAAAAAATCCGAATAAATAATAATTGAAATGATTAAATGCGCTTCAATTGAATTTCGTTTAAATGTTTGCCTCTTAAACAGCAGCAATATATTCATAAAATAATCGCGTCAGTGGCAAGCAAACAAATGTCTAGGATTGTGGTGCGTGTAGATTGTGTGAACATCAATATTTGAATACCCTAATTTTTATGTTTGGTTGTTAAATGGTTTGTAACTTGTTGGTTTTTGTTGTTGTTGTATTTATGCAACACATCCCATATCAGAGTCGAGCATACGAAACATTGTAATAATTTTATTCGCATTGCGACCCTCATCGATGCCATGAAGAGTAGCACACTTTATGTACGTATATGTTAACATGATGTTGTTACATCGTACTAAAACAACTATCGAGGGGTCGTTCGTTGCTGTGCCTGTAATCGTCGAACTATCTCTGCCATTCGAATAAAATGTGTATTCGTTTTTAAATCGGTTGTTTAGTGCATGTAAATGGAACATCTCTAATGTAGTCAAATTCACCGATTGTCGGTTAAATATCGTAAAATGATGAAACTGATGATTGCACTGGCCATACATTGATCCCTCTTCGATCCACTGTATCCTTACCGAATATATTCACACATCGTCGGAAGTTTGATCTATCCATTTGTTCAAGTGGATGCTTCATTCGGTATACATTCTCTTTTTTTTCTCTCTATCAGCAAGCAAATTCATTGTAGACGATGTTCTCTAGAGACATGCAAGCATTTCACAGTGAGAACTTTACAGTTTCATGTTTATCTTGTGATTCTCAAGAGATTTAAAATTAATTTACTG